CTACATAATAATTTCCAGTTTGGAAAAACTATACCCTTAGGAGAGAATCATAATTATTTTTTAAAGAAGTGTGATGAGGAGCCTTTCTTTGAGGTTGAGTGGTTTAAATTGAATGGAATTAAATTTAGAGTTGTGCCATAATAGTTCCTGACCATGAAGAAAATGAACTTCCAACATTCGGTATTGTTAAATCAATTATTTGTACTCAAAAGGAAAAGGTGTTCTTTTTCTGTCTAGTTATAAGTGATGTACTGTTGCACACAGATAGCTGTGCTTATATATTAAATACTGTTTCCCACAAATTCAAATACTATGATATAACTCATATTAAAAAGTTGCGTTCATTTCAAATACATTTAGTCCCTGGTGGAAAGACTGTCGTAAATATGTTTAAAATATAGCTTTAGATTCTAACATAACATCGAACTGTATTTGTACTATGGCCTGTGTGTTGCATATGTAGTAAATTAATGCATAGATTTTCATTTGCGTTTGGCTTAGTTATACATTTTACTGTTGAGTTGATCCTTTATTGAAAACGTAGAAACTTTTTCTTTGAGAAAATGTATACTTTATGTTTGATTTTTTGTTTTTCTAATACATGTTTTAAAGTTGTTTTGTATTATATATCTAACCAATCCTGAAGTTAAATTTTGACCTAAACGGTATAGATTTTCTGAGTGGCTGCTAATAATAAAAAGGAAGCCTTTCCAACTGAACAGTGTTAACATTTCTGTGTAATGTATTTTATCTGTGTCAGAATACACGTGCATCCTGTATAGCAAAGAATACTACTCTTTGCTGTATAGTAAATTTTCGGGATTACCTACGTAGGTAAATAAAATTCATATTTTTGTTGGTAATATTTGTTAATTGTTATGCAATGCCTTAGTTTTGTTGGATTAACTTAAGTTTCCTAACAACCAATAATCAGATATCTTTCTTAACGATTAAAATACTATATTATAATAATAAACTTTTTGTTAGTTGTGATAAAATTAGTGTGTTAAATATAAATAAATGGGTGGTAGTAACAAACAAATCGAAAGTGTTTATTTACTGAAATTCTTCAGTATAAAGAAACAATTCTTAATATTAAAGTTAAACATATTTACAAATACACTTATAAATAGTTGCTGTGAAATTCGCACAGTAAATATTAATAAATGGATGGCAGTGATATTAGCAAATCTTATGGTATGTATTAACTAAAACTCTTTATAATGAATAAACAATTCTTAATATTAAAGTTGACCATATTTACCACTAAACCTGTTGATAGTATTTATTAAATTCATATATTAATAATAAATAAATGGGAAGTAGAAGTACATAAATCTCTTGGTAATAATAAAAAAACTGTTCTTAATATTAAGTTACACATATTTGTAAACTTGTAGCAAAGTTATTATTTAACAATAAAATAATATTTGACAGCTGATATTTAAACATGAATTTTGTTAACAGTAAATAAATTTTATTTGTTATAAATAAACCTTTCTCTCAGTGTACGGAGGCGTAGAAGGGCCACAAAAAAACAAATTTTACTTTTATTGTTACAATTTCAGCCAACAAATTGTAGGTATATTCAATCTACAATTGTAGACTGGATCTATCTAAATTTGTAGATCTAAGCTACAAATTGTAGATTGATTTTGTTCTACCACACATAGAAAAAAATGCTTAGTGTAAAAATATTGATTTGTTTGAAAATATCATTTTCAGTTAATATTATATTTGTTTACAACAAGCACAAACTCTTCGGTCAAATTTACAGGTGTATTTAAATGGATCATAGGATTTTCTTAATAACATCGTTTTCATTTAATAACTAATCATTTTACTACAAATAAACGTATGTAAGCATTCATATTTTTAAAATACGTTGTAGTTTTGTTTTGATAGAAATAAGATACATTTCTCGCACGTACACTGACAGTTATCTTACTTTAAGTATCAATGTTATTTCATTGACAAAATATATTCTTGGAAGAAATGCTTATATTCTCATAATGAATATCGTGCATGTTTAATTCGAAGCGTCAGTTTTGATTCAAATCAAATGCTGTTATACCAAACTAACATATTAAAACTGCTTTGTGTAAGCTAATTGTTGAGTTAAGCACATTTATGCAGATTTAGCAGTAGCTCATCATCGTTAATCGTAACGCTTTCTGCTCGGTAGCGTAATTGTGTGCGTCCAAGAATTTTGCAAGTGGTGATTGTTATAAGTTATTATTTATAATAATGGAACAATTATTAAAAAGTTGGGACATGGAATGCTTAGTTGCTGTATTTAAGGGTAAGTTTAGTTATTTCAATATCTTCTACTTTGTGTCGAGTGCGTATTAAGTTAAAGTTGAACATGATCAGGACAATGGCGTAATGGCGCATTTTTCAATTTCCGTTCTAAGTTTTACCCTCTGCTGAAAATTTTAACTTAAAACTACTTTAAAATGTACCGTTTTAATAAAAATGCCGAACGACTTATTAAAAACAAGTTGTAAATCAGCATATGCATTATTAAAGCGCATTTTTGGTAATGCAGGTCAGTATTTTATTTGCGAAGTTTAAAATTATCGATCTCACGAGTAATTTTGGCTGCGTTAAATAATTAATTTTATTTAATTTCAATTGACGGTGCGTCTTCATTTTGTAAAACAAATCACAAAGTAAATAATAAGTTTTTATACTGGTAGCGCTATCTAACGGTAAAATTATAGCACCTCCGAAACCCATATCGAAATTATTTTCTTCAATTATGGATCTCACAAGTAATCCAACTCAAAATAGACTAGTGCCTGCACATCTACACTATAGCAGAAAGCTTTTAGTGAAAATTTGAAGTCTCTAGCTATTGTAGTTGTGGAGATCTAACGCGGACAGCCGGCCTGCCAGCAATGACGAATATAATAGCGTATTTTTTTCAAAAATGCGCTAAAAATTATGCCGTTTTAAAATTATAAAACTTAAGGTTGGTTTATGCAGCAAAATTTAATGTAATCTTACTTTTAATGCAAAATTTTACTTAACGTAATTTAAGGATAGGTTTATGCATCTCCTTTTTAGTGTAATTTAATAATATAAACGCATATGCGTATAGTTTTGTTATCAACTTCATGCTGAATACTGAAAGCATACTTCATGTTGTTTTGGTTCCCGCGTCTTTATATTTTATACACTCTGAAAAATCGGTTGGTTGTGTGAACAATATTTCTGCTTTTGTCTCTGTATTCTTCAGGAAACATAATGAAATTGTAATAGGTACTCAAACTGATTACGTGTAAGTTTCAAGAAATTGTTCCGGCAACAAAATTAAATTTTTACAACAGCTTAGTAACGATGACAAGTAATCGTCCCTAGAAACACTTGTGAATGGTTCTGTACACAAATTAAGTTATGCGCATGCTACTTTTCGCACGTAGCGTTTCTTCGAGGTTGTAGATGCAGTTGCAGAATTAAATTTAGTTTGTTTTTCACAGTGTAATTTGCAAGTTTAAGGTGATTTATAAACATAGATTGCATTTGCTCATTTGGGTAAGTATCTACCTATTCCAATTTATTGCATGTTACTTATTTATTCAACTGCATTTTATAATAAATTCCTGTTAGAAGTAAAAGTATAATGAAACACAAGCGTAAGGCAACGGCCGTAACAGTTTGCATAGCATGCATTTTAAAAATGTATCACTTAAACTCTACAGGTTTCCTGTACTTAGGGCTGGTTTATGCAGTCGTATTTAACGTAAGATTTAATGTAATGTAACTTAACCTACAAATTTAAGAAGTTCACTATACGTATTCAAATGGATCAGTTTATGCAATAATTTAGTGTAATTTAAGGATTTAGTGTAACGTAAAGTTGGGCAACTTTCAACTTTTACGTTAAAATTAAATAAAATTGGTATACACGCGTGCGCGGTAGTCAGCTGATTGTAATTTTTGTTTTTTTTAACCACACTTTGTCACTTTCGTCATTTCCACAAAACAGGTAAAAAAAATGGATGATATTGAAATAATCTGTGTGATGTCGATTCTTGTGGGTGTGTTGTACTTGAGAAGTAGAAAAAGAAAACGAAATCGTCGTTATGCTGTTCGGCCCATCAACAGGCATCGTGGGCGGCTGGGTTTATTCAATTCAATCAAGATAATGTATCGATCGGATCACCATCACTTTTTTAAATACACCAGGATGCACCCACCCCTTTTTGATTTATTGCTTAAGTTGGTCGAACCTCATTTAATAAAAGATGAGACCAAAAAGCATATTGCACCTGCACATCGCCTAATTCTGACGCTTCAGTGAGTATTGAAACATTTTATGGCAAATCATTGATTGCACGTTCTTTTATTAGTTACCGTAAGATGGGGCAAAGTCGATCAAGTGGGTAAATTTCGATCAGAAGCACTGTCAAATTTAAATTTCGCGTTAAATGGTAGGTTTAAGTTGGCAACCCATATCGCCGCCATAACGGGCATCGTGAAATACGTGCTAAAGTGCATGCGTACGTTTAGGGTAAAGTTGCGATAGTCGCCCCTAGGGTATACATGCCTCTACATTCAAATTTTGTGGTAAAATCGACACTAGCGGCTTCGCGCTTGTTTGTGGACAAATTTAGTACTTAAAATCAGTTATGGTGACATTTGTTGTGGTATAGACGCCCCGTATCTTGGATTAATAAAAGTAAAAAGGTAGGATGCTTTATTTACTTGTAATCAATAGGTTTGTCTTTCACGAGATAAGCTTTAAGAACAATATGCATGATTTATGGCAAAAACTTTTGTTATTATAAGTAGTATATAACATAACCTTGCCTATAGAACTGCTGTTTTTAGTGTTAAATGGCGGTAACTTTAAAAATTAAGTGGGGCATCTATACCCACAAAAAAGGATAAATGCCCCACTTGTGTATGGGATATATGGCAATTTTGTTATCGTGATTCTTTCGGTATTATTGATGATTAGTACTACCTAAATTAATTAAATTTATTTCAGAAAAATGCCTAGAAAGTATCAGCGGAAGGTTAATGTTAAGGGAAGAGCCTTGTGGTCGGAAGAGGATTTAGCAGCTGCTATGAGGAATGTTAATAATAGCGAAATGGGTGTGAATGAAGCCAGCAAAGCATTTAACATTCCATCAAGAACATTACGCAGACGATTAAAATCAGGAAATTGCAAAAAACAATCGTTAGGAAAGGGTCCGGCATTGGGATTTGAAAATGAAAGGAGACTTGTGGCCCATATACAAAAACTAGAAAAGGCAGGATTTGCCCCCAGTCGTTGGACAGTTCGTAAACTGGCATATGAGTTTGCAAAGAAACTGGGAGTAGAAAATGCATTTTCTATAAAAGGAGAAGAAAAGGGCATAGCAGGCCACCATTGGCTGTATTCTTTCTTAGAGAGGAATACGGATTTGAGTGTTAGACAAAGTGAGGGTTTATCTCTAGCCCGTGCAAAGGGAATGTGCCGTTCAGAAGTGAATGCCTTTTTCGATCTGTTAGAGAAAACATTACTAGAGCACAATTTAATTAATAGTGGCAATAAAATCTTTAACATGGATGAAAGTGGTATCCAGTTAAACAATAAGCCCGGAAAAGTGATTGCAACCAAAGGAAGCAAGGATGTCCATGTACTTACGTCTGTGGAAAAAGGGGAGCACGTCACGCTAATTGCGTGCAATAACGGTGAAGGTGTTTTTATGCCACCCGTTTTAATTTTAAAAGGTACTAGGAAAAATCCTGATTTCATGGAGGGCTTACCTACAGGATCCGAAATTTACATGAATAAAAAGAGCTCATACATCACTTCAGAATTGTTTATGAAATGGTTGACGGAACATTTCGTCCCTAGGAAGGGCGAAGGCAAGGTAGTGTTAATTTTGGACGGGCACACCTCCCATACGACTAATCCGGAAATGTTAAATTATGCAGAAGCAAATGATATTATCATCATATGCTTACCGAGCCACATCACTCAAGCTCTTCAACCTTTAGACAGGTCATTCTTTAAACCCATGAAAGATTATTTTAAAAAAGAAGCGGATTCGTGGATGCTTCAAAATGAAAACAGAAAAATTGACAGACGAAATATGGGTGCCCTGATAGGGCGCGCGTGGAAAAATGCGTCTACCCCTGCAAATGGCATGTCTGGATTTGAGGCCACGGGTATATGCCCTTTCAATAGAACTAGAATTCCTGACCATTTTTTCCAAATATCAGACTCTTCTTTGAACCAACAAGCCGAGACTCTTCAAAATGGAAATGCTGCATCCCAAAAAGTGTCTGCAGATTCCCCCCCTGCAGAAGATTTATACATTACAGAACCTCACCAGGAGTCAGAAACTGTCAGTTATGTAAATGGTGATACCTTACGTGAAAACCATGAAAACCTTCCTGGAACAAGTAAGACAAATACTGATTCTTCATACACTGTTGATTTCGACAATTTACCTCAAGACTTCTTTGAAAATAATGAAAATTATATAATTATCAATTCACAAAATGAAGGTTCTTCTGAATCGCAACCAACAAACGTAAATTTAGAGAAACCAACTCCATCCAAATTTTTAAACGACTTGGCTCCTATTCCAACCATACCTTTAAAAGCTCCTAAAAGAAAACAATCAGCCGCTGTACTTACAAAATCTGCAAAAGGGCAGAAAGTCAAAAATAATAACACTAAAAATTAAAAAAAAAAGAGACTAGTACCAATAAGAACCAGCAAAATTGCAATTGTGTTGAGTGTCTTGAAGACTATTATCAAACCACAGAAAAAGTGGATTGGATTAAATGTGTGGAGTGTAACAACTGGTTACATGAATCGTGTATCATGTATGGTAACAAGTGTAACGATTGTGGCAAAAAACTTAAAAGGCTGGAGATATGCAAACGAAAACTGGTGTAAGAAATAATGTAAAACCTTATCATTTGTATTGTATTAAGAGTTCATTTCATTAAATATTTTTTATTTGGTTTTTGTATCCATTTGTATTGTTTTTAGGATTGAGGTTGGGTGGATATTTGTGAATCATAGGTGTAACAGCTACCTATTTCTTAGTACTAGGGCGTCTAACCCTTAACTGAGGCATATATCCTAAGGCATATCTACCACACATGTGGGATAAATGGCCATTTACAGTACGATTGTTTATGACAAATAATCATGACGGCATTGATATTATCGCATGTTGGAGCTAATACGAGGTATATCCAGAAAGTAAGTTCCGTTTCCATTTATATCCGCTGCAGCGATGCGATCGCAGTTCCGCGCATGCGCGGCAGACTCTCTGTATCAAGGAGAAGAAACGTGCGCCATTTTGAGATCGCTGTCAGTCTCGTACGCTTTGTTGTGCTTGTTTAAAATGTCGGTGTTGATCGAAAATCCCGCCGCTTGTGAAATCAGATCTGTGATACGTTTTCTGAATGCTAAGAAAGTGAAACCGATTGACATTTATCGGCAAATTTGCGAGGTTTACGGACAAAATGCGATGAGTGATTCAATGGTGAGAAGATGGGTCCGACAGTTTAATGAAGGACGTAATGAAGTGCATGATGAAGAACGAAGTGGGCGTCCATCTTTGATTACAGAAGAACTGGTTCACACGATTGATGAGAAGATCAAGGAAAACCGTAAGTTTACAATGAGTGCTCTCGCTATGGAATTCCCCCAAATCTCACGATCATTAATTCATGAAATTGTTACCGAAAAGCTCCTAGCGACTATCATCTGTTCTTACATCTGAAGTCTTTCCTTGGCGGTCAACACTTCAACGATGACGAAGAGCTGAAAGAAAATGTTTCCGAATGGTTGAAGACACAGGCGGTAACCTTCTATGAAGAAGGCATAGAAAAACTTGTTCCACGCTATGACAAATGCCTGCAAAATTTCGGCAGTTATGTAGAAAAGTAGCTTAAGAGTTGTAAATTTTAGTGCAATAAATATTTTTTCTGTAGGTATCTGTAGACAAATTATTTTTATTACCAAACGGAACTTAGTTTCTGGATATACCTCGTAATATGTGTTCACTTTTACTATAGGTTAGTTATTTCAAAGTAATGATTTTATAAAAGAATTTGCTTAAGTGGGGCATATATCCCAACTTTACCCTATAACGGTTAGATGACAAGTTTGCTGCATAAAAAGTTTAATTAGTAAAACGCAAGTTGGCATATTTTTTGTGTGGTGATGTGTATGACCCCTGTAAGTTTCACAAATTTTTATTAATTGCTTTTTACGATAAATCCTGCATGACTTATGTTATTACTGAGTCACTTACTATCGCACAATTACAGAATAGTTCCTAAATAGTTTGTATGCCCAAACAAAATTCTATCTCTGTCTATAAACGGGAAAAGTCGATCACTTTTGTTTAATGTCCCCAATACCGGTTTACTGTTAGTAAATTGTTTAACTTCATCTTAAGTAGGTACCTACCTACCTACCTACGTCAGTATTCTTTATTTTATAGGTTAGTTCAGTATAAAACGTAAAAATGGTCCGCACGTACAAAAAAAAGTTGGAGCAGAGGGCAAAAAAAACTATGACGAAAAATACATGGAACGTGCCATAAGGGACGTAAAACAAAAGGGATGTTCTATAAGAAAAGCTTCTGAAATATACGCAGTTCCTTACAGTACACTCAATGACAGAATTAGTGGCAGACATCCTAGAAAGTATGGCAGGCCAAAAGCTCTTAGTTCTTCAGAAGAACAGAAGTTGGTCGATGCATTAATTTTATTTGGCAATTATGGTTTTCCCTTTACTGTAAAAGACATTGCTAGTGTTGTTCAGAGTTATCTCAACAGAAAAGGTGTAACAGAAAAAAGATTTCATGACAATAAACCAGGACCAGATTGGGTGCGAACGTTTATAAAAAAAACATAATACAAATTTGAGTGTCCGATTATCCGAAAATATAAAAAGAGCTCGTGCAGATGTGTCACGTGAGGTTATAGCAGATTATTTCTCCAATCTGGCACAAACCATAAAGGATACCCCTGAAAAAAACATTGTGAATATTGACGAAACAAACTTCACAGACGATCCAGGATCTGTGAAAGTGGTCATAAAGAGAGGTTCACGCCACTCTGAAAGAGTGATTGACCATTCCAAGTCAAGTGTTAACGTAATGATGTCTATAACAGGGGATGGACAAATGTTGCCCCCTTATATTTTATACAAGGCACGACAAGTTTACCCTGGATGGTGTGCTAATGGTCCTCCAAATGCTGTTTATGGTGCGAATAGCAGTGGTTGGTTCGATGGAGACATATTTTCCGATTTTGTGGAAATAATTCTGGTTACCTACTTCAGGAGACTTGAAGGAGACAAAGTTATCATTTGTGACAACCTGTCAAGTCACATTTCAATGCATGTAATTCAGATTTGCGAGAAAAATGGCATTAAATTTGTTTTACTCCCTGCTAATTCTACGCATTTGTGTCAACCCCTTGATGTAGGATTTTTCAGGCCACTCAAGGGCGCTTGGAGAAAAGTGCTGAATTCGTGGAAGTAGAAAAATAGAGGTGTTTTTCCTAAAACGGAATTCCCCAAATTATTACAAACGGCCATAGAAGAAGTTGGAATTAGATCCCACGAAAACATATTGGCTGGGTTTAAATCGTGTGGAATCGTGCCTTGCAATCCTGAGCAGGTGTTGAAGCGTTTACCTTTGGGAGTGGGTGAAGACGCTGCTGAAAATGGACATTGGACCAATGCTTTAGTTGAGCATTTAGAAAAAAGAAGATTTCCTGAGACTAAGCAAACAAAACGAAGGGGAAGAGGCTTGAAACCCGGAGTCAGCATTCGAGCAGAAGATCTTACTGATGGTAACCAACCAAGTTGCAGCAAAGAGGTTGAACCGATTGAGAATCAAGACCAAGTGGTAAATGAATCAAATGACCCTGAGAATTACATAGAACTCTTAGAAGATCAAATGGCGATTGAGATGCAGGACCAAAATGAAAATCAAGTGGATAATCCAGAAGCTGACAAAAATATTAGCACTGGTGATTATGTTGCGGTTACTTTCCTCTGTGAAAACAACAAGAAAACAAAATTCTTTGCAGGAGAAGTGACGAATATTAGTGATAATGGACAAGAATTCACAATTAATTTTTTTAGAAAACAAACTCTGAAGGGCACATACATTACTTTTCCTCATGTACAAGACAAACAAACTGTTGCAAAAGAGGATATTGTTTCTAAGCTTTGTTTAAAACGCGTTGTTAGAGGAAGATTTTATTTTAGTATGCCAGATTATAATTTAGAATAAAGAATTTTACTGATTTACTGTTTATTTTTTGTACCTACTTCATTTCAAAGGGTGGAAAATTTTTTTTTAAAATTCTAATAGTGATCGACATTACCCCTATTACGTTTTAAAGTCGATTTCCACATAAATCAAGTGGTGATCGACTTTGCCCCAAAGGTGGGGTAAAGTCGACCATAAATATTTATTTTTTTTTATTGTTAATATTTATTAAAACTCAAAGTTGTTAGTCACAATTGTTACTCAAAGCAATGAGCAACTGATATAGGGGGGTGTGGTTATGAAAGTAATGATAATTGCGGAAAAAAAACGGAAAAACTCACATTTTGTGATCGACTTTGCCCCATTTTACGGTACCTATCGGAAGGCTGTTCCATGCAAGAGCTTGCATATAGCCATATGTTGGGGAAAGCAACGGTTGCAATTATTATAAGGGAAACCACATTCTTTGGAGTGTGCTACAACCCATTTATTTAAAACCACCGACGCAACAGTTACTGCTGGAAATATCGGAGGAGTTTTTAAAAAAATGGAATTTGCCGCACTGCGTGGGAGCTATTGACGACAAACACGTTGTTATTCAGGCACCGCCAATGAGTGGTTCAATTTATTTCAACTACAAAAAGACGTTCAGTATTAATTTAATGGCAGCGTGTGATGCTAGTTCTACATTTACATTCGTGGATGTAGGAGCCCCAGGTGGCGATCATGACGCGTCTGTGTTTAGATCGTCGCAATTTGGCAAAGAAATTCTGAATAATACATTGGATTTGCCACCTACGACAAATTTGTCAAATAGTACTGTTCAATTTCCGTATTTCTTTGCCGCCGATGCAGCCTTTCCTTTGCATACAAATATTATGCGACCGTATCCTGGGGAGAGACTGCCAGAACAACAGAAGATTTTCAATTACCGCCTTTCAAGGGGACGGCGAACAATAGAAAATGCGTTCGGTATTCTAAGCCAACGTTGGAGAATATTAAGACGGCCAATTATTGCGAATGTTGACCTTTGTGAGGACATAATATTAAGTTGTGTCGTGCGGCACAATTTTATCAAGCACATTGAAGATGTGGCACCCCCATCCGAACACAAATACTGTCCTCCAGGGTTTACAGACAGTTGTAAAAGCGATGGTACCATTGCACCTGGTGGTTGGAGAGATGATTCATCACAATCATGTCTTCGACCAATAGGTCGAGTGGGATCAAATAATCCCAAAGTAAATTATAAAATACTGCGTGATAGACTCTGTACATATGTAAACTCACCAGAGGGATCTGTAGCTTGGCAAGAGGATAGAGTATGGAGAGGAGCTTTGCCAAACACATTTTAATAACTACTTATTATATTTTTATAAATTTACACCTACATTATTATTTAGAACTAGTTTTATGCTAAGAAATATTTATAACTACTTATAACTAACTATATAAAATTTGTAAAATTTGACGTTTTAATTCTTTTTTTTTGTTCTCGTCCTTAATTTCTTTTAATTCTAAGCCCACCATTTTCCCGAAGCACATGTCCCGGTCTTCCTCCGTGGGCATTGTTGGTTGATGCGCTTTGGAAGTCATGTAGCCATCCAACGTGCCCATTGCTTGTTGGATGGTTTTGTTGACATTCTCATCCACCTTTTTCTGAGACTTTGCTTTTGTCGGCCGTTCTGTAGGTGAAGGAGCGGACTGCTGTGTTAAGGTGCTAGTCCTTGACATCGATGAAGTGGGTGAGAGGAGATTGACGTGAGGATCTTCCTCAAACTCCTCAGATTCCCCTTCAATCATGATGGAAAACGATTCCCGGGGATTCAGTTTCTGTTTCAATGACAATGACAGTAACTTAAAATTGACTACTGTGAATACTTTACCTTCTTTGAGTAACGTGCTCGGTCAAAAACGACATGGCGTTGAAGTATACCCATGACGAAGTATCGCCTGCGGCCCCTGATGGAGTATACTCCTTCCGCTCCGCGTTGAAACGTGCTCGCAGTACAGCCCACCTACGTTGACAGTCTTCCACTATAAAGTATAATGTTATTAAAGGAATACTACACTTTGATCTTTTACCTGTACTTCCCAAAACATGGGAAATTGTTTCCCAGGCATTTTTTATTGCCGAACTATCTTTGTAAAGCTTGTTACTTTTATCGTACAAGTGGGAAAACAGCCTCACTTGGTCGATTAATTCGCCATCTTCCATGGTAAAAACAACTAAACACACAAAAATACTTAAAAAATTACAATCGCAAAAACACAACCGACTTGTAAACAAGTGTGAAGTGAAATGGCGTCACGTCAAACTTGTTGCTGTGAAGTTAACAACGTACATAACGCGCAGGCGTACATATTATTAAATTCCATTAAAAAATTATGCATAAACGTCACCTTAAATTAAAATTACACTACGCTAATTCCTTAAATTACATTACGTCAAATTCTACTGCATAAACCAGCCTTTATATCGCTAGATTTGCACACAAAAAAGGCTAGAACCATAAGAATAATATTACAATTATCACGATGATATATTTAGAATGAAAATAATACTCTTTATTGTATATCTTGTCAATCGTATAGCATGAGACTACGTTAATTTTGAAAACTATTATCAAATGAAATACAGTTAAGTTCAGAACGAAAATTAAATGTGATCTGCTTTAGAGAGGGTACTATTGTTTTGAGACTGATGTTTTTAATAGTTTTCATACTTGCAAAGGATCAGCTCTATAATAAAAGTTGTGATTGTTATCCTAATGAATATAACAACAATTGTTATGTTTATCTGTGATAATACGCTAAAAAGTAGTATTAAGATGACAATATCTTATGACTGTATGTTCATCTTGAGAATTGCGACAATTATAATGTAACTTATGTTCATTTTGATGAGATGTATGAAAACTTACATCATAATGAAGCTATTCATTTCAAGCGTGGCACGGAATGTGCAAGTTGATGACAAAGGCATTTTCGGTATTTTTACTCTCAAGAGTGACACATTTGCCCATTGCAGGTTACTTACTCATTTAGTTTAGTAATTCAGTAGACGAAATGGAAGATTTATTGCGTGAGTGGAATTGTACAGAACAAATCATTAGGTCTTTTTTGGGTAAGTAAACTTTTATATTTCTGAATATACCTAACTGATAACTCTGATTCATGAATTTACAACTTTTATCTCTAAATTATTTTGACGCACTACCTATCTTGACAAAAATAAAGAGCATAATGTCGGGTTGTGCATTTCATATACAAAACACAATATCGGTTAAATTATGATCACGCATACTATACTTACCTATATTGATTATGCTAATTATCTTATAGATAATGATATCACTCCTGATATATTGGATCAAATAGACGACGCATACCTTAAAGAATTAGTCCCTTCATAGGAGCGCGTATTAAATTACGACAGCATATAAAAATAGTATATTAAGATACAAGTGTATAATCAAGTCTTTAAAGCACGCGCAACGAGTTTAAGGGCACGACGCGACGCAAAGCGGAGTGCCTTTAACGTTGCAAGTGCTTTAAATACCAATTATACACGTGTATCTTATAGTATTTTTTATTATACCTGCAGTATAATTTAAAAATCGCCGTTACTACCCGCACGCTAGCGTGTGGCTTTTGTTTCATGATCGCCGCACGGAAACGTCATAGTTGAAGTTATGACGTCACAATTAGCTTGTGGATCAGCTGATGGGTAACAACAACATTTCTTACATTACATTTGTTTATTTTTGTTTAGTGACAGAGCCATGGCTTTAGTGACGTTGTCGAATATCTTAGACCTTTGCGGATGAAATTAGTGTAGTAAAGAAAGGGGAGAATTGTTTAGAGAATGGGTATATAATTGAAGTTGAGTTTACAGGAGTCAGGACTTAAATGTAATTTGTGGGAAAGTTTGACCAAGTTTATTAATATAATGGAGCTAGGAAATTCTTTTTAGATAAATTGAGATCGTAATGGAAGCATACAGATGGAACTATAGTCATTGTGCATGAGTACAATTTAATTGCCATCACGTTGCTGCAATTTTATTGTACTTCAACAAAAACTTTATTAAAATCGACAAAATATACGAATGAAAAGGCCTCCAACTAGTAGTGGACCAGAAAAGATTGCATCTGTCTGGAAAAGATTTGTTCCCGAAACGTCAACATCGTTCTACAAATCGAAATGTGGATGCAGCGGATAAGGAATTCTTTTATACTCAACTTAAATCATTAAACAGGTGAGGATTTTGTAATCTTGAAGGTAAAAGTTTTTAAACATGTTTTTAGGTTTTCCGGCTTTTGTTGGCTATTGTCTCTGGAGCAGGTAACTCTGCATACAGAAGTAAAGTAAAGATTTTGGAACTTTCCAAGACAGTTACCTACTGGAGAAATCGATGAAAACAAATTATTACTTAAATTAATAGAATAAGTAGTTGTAGTGTTTATTTATACACATGATAATAGTTATTAAACAAATTCATAAGGTTTTATGACATTAATAATTCTTTAAGCATTCTTTGAGAGTTATATTTTCTTCTTTTAGAAAATGTATTTCTGCCGAGTCTAAAGCTGGGTACACGAACAACGTTGACGGGCCAGCTTCTGATACTTCATCAATGTTCAGTTCTGCTTCTAATGCAGAATGTGGAACTTACTCATCTTTAGAATGACACCTTCTGAAATAAATTTAATTTGCAGTTTGGATGTCTGTTCTAATAGTGAAGCATACCTTGCACGTTTTTTGGGCATTGGAACTTCCACGTTCCCTCCTTATTCCATGGAAAAATCGTTGGACCCACGGATTTATTACCACCTTTGAAATGACAGCTACAAAGACAATGTTCACGAGTTGGATCTCGATCAACCCTTCTGTTAAAATTTACACAAATTGTAAGTTAAAGTTTTAGCTGAAGCAGCTCAAGCCAAGTATATCTTTAAAATTACCTATAGTATTATTTATACATTTATGAGGAATTTACCCAAGGGAATAAGGATTTCCATATGAAAAGATAGGTTTACATTTGTAATTATGTAATATACACTTAAAACAAATATAATACAAAAATAAACACTTGCGGCTTTATGACATACCTATCATTTAAATTAATGAAATGCTACAATAAAATTTAAAAAATAATACTACTACTTTTTAGCATATTAAATATCAGTAACATTCCCGACAGAACCATGTTCTTCTGATTGGGGTCTTTGCTAATCCTACACATCGAAAATGGTACCACATCAAGCAGCTATCGCAACATATGCTTTTTAGTTGGGCAATTGCATTGTTGCAAGTGGCACAACACCATTCATGATTTTCCTTGTTGTGTTCAATAAAGTCTATTAAATTTTCAAAAGCCCCTAGTTCAAACAAATCCTTAACTAAATCCAAATTAAATGATGGATCGAAAATGACATGTCTCAAACATTTAAAATCTTTCAAGTCGATGTTTTTAATTTTATATTCTCCTTCTAAGCATTGTTTTATGGCATCGTCATTTGAAACTATTTCTCTGAGAATTTGAGTTTTTTGCATGGTTTCTGATTTCAACGTAAATTTTGTTGGAATCTTAATGGTCCTTCTTTTTTTCAAGCCAATAACAGTTTGTTCTGACCCTTTAGTCCTACCTCGTTTTTTAATCTTACTGGGCATAATGATAGTAGACAAATCATCAACTAAAATAATAGAAAGTAATGTAAGTGATTAATAATTTGTAAGTGAACCAACCTTGAGTTTCCGTAAAAACAGCTTCACTGTAATCAGTTCCGGCACTGGCACTGGCAACAGTATGTTCATTCTCTAATGTAGGAATTTCATTTAAATCATTAACATTAACTACAACAATAAAATAAGGGATTAATTTTAAAATCTTAAGCTAGCATTACACTTGTCAATTAATTCACGAAGTTTTCTTTGTCAATTTCTTCGCGCCGGGGTTTGGTTTTACACCTGTGAAGAATTTCGTGAAGTTGTTGGACATGACTGTCACTGGATCAGGCGTGCCATCCAGCTTTTTATTAAACGTTTCCCCAAAATAAACTTGCAAGCAGTAGACGTTGCTCTCCCTCTCATTACCAAAATTTTAAGTTGGTTGGTAGCACTGAACTTCACAGTTAAAATTGACAAAAAATAGAACACGTTCTCATTTTGTGAAGAAATTCACGAAGTTCTTCGTGAAGTTTTTTGCGTGCAAGTCGGTGTATTACATTTGGTAATTTCTTCGTGAAGTGACTTCGTGAATTAATCCATGAATAAATTGACAAGTGTAGTAGTAGCTTGAGATAGAGTAATAATAAGACATTTCGTATTCTCACATGAGTCACAGGCAGAAATGTCAGTACTTTGATCCATCTCACAGATTCTTACTCTTTCTTCATATACATACGAATCTAGAAATGTTGATATTGAATTAAAGTAATTACCTAATTATTAAATTGTGCATACTTTGAGTAACTGTGGCATTATTAGAAGCACCACAATTTTCTGCACCTTGCGTGATCATGGAAATATTCAAATTTCTCCCAATAGTAGAAGTTTCTGGGATTTCATTCATCACAATTTCGTCAAGTAATAATTCCGAGTGCTCACTTTCATCTTCATTGATGCTTACTTTATTAATCGTTACCTAAAATAAGTCAATGTAGATCACAAAAGAATGCATGCCTATAAAAAAAGACAATATACCTCATAGCCTTGCCTCCACAAAAGTTCAATTTTTTTTAAACAGTCAAGTTTATATTCAAACTGTGAATTTGAAGAAAGACAAGCTATACTAACAATAGCATTGGCAATCAAATTTGCTCTTTTTCGTTTCTCGGTTGGGTTCAGAATTTTCGCAGTTTTCACATTTGTAACTGAATATGAAGGCACATTCTCTATATGCGAGTCATTTAACACTCTATGACTTTTTAGATAAAACTGTTTTCTCCATCTTTCCGCACAAGCTTCTTCACAAAATAAATCCATTTTCAGATAGTTTCTTAAAGATAATATATGTCTACATGGTAAAAACATTGATAAGAAGTCGGAGCATTCACAGGTAGCAGTATGTACTGATATCATAATGTCTTTAACTTTAACCTTGTATTGTTCATCATCTTCAGTTATAGCTACTTTCTTACTGAGATTAATTTGCTTTAGAACATATCCATATGCATAAGGTGTTAGAAAATCCAAATATTTTTTTTCACAGCTGTCTTCATCAAATTGTGTAATAATTTTTGCAACTTTACTATTTCGCTCTTCACAATGAGATCTTAACCAATTTAAAAAATGTTTAAGAAATAAACATAAAGAGCTATTTCGTGGCACAACGTCTTTAATTTTTTGATTTAATGACTCCAATCTATTGTTGGTACGATTTCTTAAATTACCATGTACCATGCTGTAACAAGTCCATTCGCATCTAATGTTGTGCCAGTTCTTGTTAAAATACTCAGCTACACTTGGCGGGCAAGTGTCACAGAACACAATGTATAGTTCATCGTATTCATTTTCTGAATGACTATAAACTAACTTATTTAAAAGTTCTAAACATGTGTCACGTTCTGATGATGAAATGTCATATTTCGAAGTTGTCACAGTTCTTTTAAAAGTTTTTAGAACGTGAACCAACACTGGAACACCACAAAATATTTCTTTTAAGACATCCCTCTGTAACAAATCTTTGTCTGTCATAAAGCATTTTATTAAATGGTTTGAATAAAGAGGATTTTACAAACCTCTCCAATTCCAACAGCGCACCTTCCAACTTACCGGAATTGATTCCACCTAAATTAAATGTGGAACTGACGCCCCTACTTAAAAAGCAGGATTTGGCGGTGGACAACTCCCACGTAGGGGTCCAGAAACAAATAGGTTCCGGGTTATGCGCTATCGGCAAATGCGCCAACCTTCTCTTAGAGGACAATTCGGTGGCTGTCCCTCTGAAGGTAAAAGTACTCACGAACCTTTCGGAGTCCGCACAGATTTTGTGCAACGCATTTCATCGAGTTTCGGTTACCCGTAAAAACTTATTAAGTCCGCTAATCAATAAGAACTTCATAAACCTTATTGAGAAAGCGCCTCCGTCCGAATTTTTATTCGGCGCAGATTTAGGGGATAAGATAAAGACGGCTAAGAGTTTGGAATCTTTAAGCAGAGACTTGAAACCAAAATACAACCCGGTTACGTCTCGTAGGCCTTCCGGAGGGGTAGCAACGCAGAGACAAGCTATTCATGGACCCTCAAATTTAAACTTTGTGCGCCCGGCCCGTCAACGAGTAGAGACGAGGCCAGCGAAAGGGCATCCCTTCCGGTCTACTCGAGGGGAGTCTCGAAAGGAGAACTTGAGACCTTTCCGCGAAGTGCAGCGGAAGAGAAAGGAGTAGAGGTGAGTGCTGAGCGTTATGCCGGACAGCTTAAGTCCTTCTTTTCTATTTGGGCGCAGCTGACCCCCAACTCAGTTATCCTAAGCTGGGTAAGGGGCTATAAGTTACCCTTTATCAGTAATCCAGGGCGATCGGTAGCTAGACCTATTCGCTTCTCGTGTTCCGAGATCTTAGCGATCAAGGAAGAATTGCGCGATCTTCTCCAAATTGGAGCAATTCGCAAATGCAAACCCCGCCGGGACCAGTTTGTTTCAAACTTTTTCTTGACTAATAGGTCGGACGGTAGAAAACGATTTATCCTAAATCTCAAAAAGTTGAATACTCACATTTTGGCTCCTCATTTTAAATTGGAGGATTTTAGGACAGTAGCAAACTTGATTACTAAAGGTGCTTTTGCTACGTCCATTGATCTCAAAAATGCATACTATGCTTTGCCGATTCATAAAAGTCATAGGAAATTCCTACGATTTGAATTTCAGGGGGTACTTTATGAATTTAATTGCTTAGTTTTTGGACTGACTTCAGCTCCTTATACTTTTACTAAACTCTTAAAGCCTATCATGGAATTCTTACGGAATAAAGGCATAATTTGTGTAAACTACTTAGATGACTTTTTGATAATAAGTCAATCTAAATTAGAATGTTTAAAGCACACACATTTTACTCTGTCTACTTTATCTTCCTTGGGGTTTCTAGTAAACTACAAGAAGAGCGTGCTCATTCCTAGAACTAGATTTACTTTTTTGGGGTTTTTATTTGATTCTCTAACTTTGACTATAGAATTACCTTTGGACAAACGCTTGCGAATCTTGAAATGGGCGAAATTTTTCTTACATTGCAATAGATGTAAAATTGTTAAATTTGCCAGATTCTTAGGAATCCTGGTATCAGCCTGTCCGGCTATAAAATATGGATGGCTTTATACTAAAAATTTGGAAAGGGCAAAGTTTCTTGCGCTTGGCCGGAGTGAAGGTTCATATGATGCGCATATGATTATTCCGAAGTATTTATTGTCAGATCTAGTCTGGTGGAAAGAGAAAATTATGACGGCAACTAAAAGCATAAAAGCGGTCCATTTTGATTTAGAGATTTTCACCGATGCCAGTTTATCTGGCTGGGGCGCGGTCTGTAATGGTAAAACTACGTTTGGTTGGTGGGATAAGTCATTGCGAAGTGAACATATAAATTTTTTGGAACTTCAAGCCATTCTATTTGGACTCAAACATTTCGCAATAAATTTAAACAAGATCTCTATTCTTGTTCGAACGGACAACACTACCGCCTTGTCGTCCATTAACCGAATGGGAAGCGTTAAGTTTAAAAAATTGAATTCATTGGCCAAAGAAATTTGGCAATGGTGTGAAATAAGGGACCTTTGGCTAGTCGCCTCGTACATAAAATCAAGCGATAATTGGCAGGCTGACCAAGCCTCTCGCATTTTGCCCCCGGAGACGGAATGGGCATTAAATGACGCAATTTTTGCAGATATTTGTAAGGTTTTTGGTGAACCTGAAATTGACTTATTTGCTTCTCGTGCCAATAGAAAGTGTGCCAAGTACGTCACATGGCACCAAGACCCCGAAGCGGAAGCAATCGACGCTTTCACAATCAATTGGAGTAAGCTTAATTTTTATGCCTTTCCCCCGTTTTCTCTTATTCTTAAAACACTTAATAAAGTAGTTGCAGAGAAAGCGGAAGGCGTTATAGTGGTGCCATTCTGGCGATCACAACCTTGGTACCCTTTGCTTCTTAAACTGGCACAGGGCGAGCCCATCTTTTTTGGCCCCAAAAATAATTTGGTGTCATCTCCTTACAGATCAACGCAACACCCGCTGTCCTACAAGCTTATCCTGGTGGCCGTGAAGTTGTCAGGCAGGCATTTAAATTAAAAGGAATTAGTGCGGCGGCAGAGCCTCAAAATCGTTCATATACCCAATCAAGTGGTACAACCACATGTGTTATATATCAGATTACGCGGAATAAAAAGATATATCAGATGCATATAGTATAGACGTCGGCAATTGGTCGAGCTAAAAGTTATTCACAAAAAACCTCAAAAAATGTATCAGTTTTATCGGATTTCTCACTCCGCGAAAATTTATTTTTATAAAACTGTGCTTATACTAGAGGATAGATAATGTTATATGCTTTCCAATGGTATATAATAATCTGAAAAAATGTTATATCTAATGACACCAAAAAATAGAATATGAAAAACATCACGCATCTAGAGCGATTTTTTCGAGTTTGGCATCTTGGGGTGTGGATACAGAAGAATGTATGGCAAATCGCTACACGTGAAGGCCTAGAAAATTTCATTCTTTGTATTTTAGGTTTTTACTGTTTGCACTTATCTCTTACCATAATGCAATTCTTCATCATCTTCGGCATTGGGATGAGTACGTACGTTTTTACAAGTGCCCTTGCACTTACACTCGCTAATGCAAATTAGTCCTTCCTTTGTACATACACACTTCACTGAATTGCACGAAGAGTCTGTACAGAATAGCTCAATGATATTCCGAACATTAGGTGGAATAGCATCTTGCGTGGACAGAATGGGTTCAATTTTCTCTTCATTGAGTTTCCACCCAAAATTGAACGGGTCCAAGTCTTCCATTTGCAAATCTTGGCATTTTATCCACTTTCTGCATTGCAGGAAACACCTAAATTTCGGAAGAATATAAGCAATGTGTAATTAATATTTAAGAAAGTATAGGACCTTGATACATGGTGAAAAAATGCATCTTCCGTTGGAGGTAATTCGTTTACTGATTTTTTAGTTGTCGTCGTTAATTTATGTCGCAACACATCCAAACTTTGTTCGTTCCCTTGCCCATATAATTTACAAGTGAATCGCCTGGCTATAGATAAAGACTCTTCCATAGATACTCTTGCAAACTGATCTAACTGAAAATCAGTGCACTTGTTCATATAAGCAACCTCAGTGGGGCTACCTTTCCTATTTTAAAAAACGAGCTAGTTGTGTCACAACCTGTGATCGAATGCAGCGCTGGTAGACATTGGCAAACATCTTTTCCTAATTTCACAGCTAGCTCGTGTATTGGAATGACATGCATATTATTGTTGGTGCTTGTTGTAGTGTGGCCGGACTTGATATATACTTTGATAGATTGCATGTTGGCGGTCCAAAAGTAGTATAGCACTAATATCAATATGTCGGTATCGTCAGCCTTAATCAGTATGATATCGTCTTATTCTTTCATACGATGAAGGATGAATGGAATTATTTTTGTGTCTGCCTCTTCATGATTACATCTCAAGTCTTTAACTTCAGATACTCCATCTCGCGTTATCAAGTGGCATGCTTCTCCATTTTCATATCCGCCCGACAATATGATGCTTTGAGTGACGGTTAAATGTAATTTTGATTGTTTTTCGATATAAAGAGATAAAAATTTTATTAATGCCACCTTATTTCCTGTAGACTACAAAAATTTACTGTAGTCAGTCACCTTAACCTGTTCACTAATTATGGAAAACGTGCTGGCAAAAGACTGCCCTCTTCTCTGCCTTTCATATTGTTTTATGGAATTCGGAATATTATACCGATCGAATATGAGCAGTATCTGATTGCAGTTTTCATTACTGTCGAATACTGTTAGCAGTTTTTTGAAGATGCAGTCGCCAATGTCTGCATAGGTATTAATATGTTTTTTACTTATTTCCTGAATCAAAACCATTGCGTCGACTATATACGAGTTAAATTTGGCAGGGATGTCTCTTGATATGTCGCAATAACTTTTAAGTCTCTTAGCTAGTTCAGATTTTGGCGACTTCCGTAATGAACCATCCTCGAAGAAAAGCGAAGATGGAACTAGCGTTAGTTCGTACTTCAGTAAGTTCGAAAAATCCAAGTTTTGAAATTTGGCAGCAGATATGATTCGACGAAACATGAATTCAGGTGATAATAGTCTCTTTGATTTATTTGGTTGCGTTTTCAGAGGGATATTGGATTCTTTAAATGTTTGAACTTTGTATTTCTTATGTGACGCCCAGAAGCTATTGTTCCCTTCGTCTGTTAAAGTATTTGCGATATAATTATCCATGTATTTCTTCGCAGTTGCCATAAAACTGTTCAGGGATCGTCTTATGTTCTCTGATGCTATCTTACCAGATGCGATGTGAAATAATTCAGGGGTACCATTAAAATTAAAGGGATTAACCCACGTATCTTCAAATGCTCCGAGTATTTTATTCACATCACTTTCATCACGGTTGTTCCTACTTTCGCTGAAGTGATACTCCTTCTGTTCACACGTATCATCTACCACATGTTGGAATTTAGAGCAATAATCTCCTAGTATGTGACGACTGACAATCCATCTAGTGAGGGTGTGTTCTTCTTGAGTAAAACCTAGGACACCACCAGCGGTTTTACAGTCTCTATTTATGGTTTGTTCTAAGGCCATATCACTCGCAACAGCATTGAACTTCTTATCAGTCGATTGTTTCACTACAAAATGTCCTTTCTCCAAATATCTGAAAGAAATAATTTAAAACCTTTCTTGTAATTTGTAAACACTAACCATGATAACGGTGTAGTAGGTCGGAAGATGAAAGATACGCGGCGCAATTGAAGCGGGAAATGCACGAGCCGGAAGGTGTCGAACCGTCAAATTATGCGCTGTAGCCCGATTATTGTAATAAATAAGTGCAAACGATAAAAACCCAAATTGTAGTGGATTAAATTTCCCAGGCCTACACGTGTACCGATTTTTCATATATCCTCCTGCATCCATACCGCAAGACGGCAAAGTTGAAAGAAAGCGCGCGCGATGAGTCAATTTTTCAGATTTTATTTTTTTTCACATATTGGTTATACAATTTTGCAGATTATTGTATATCAATGGAAAGCTTATGAAATTTTCTATCTTTCAAAGTAAACACATCTTCAGAAAAATACACTTTTGCTGGGTGAGAAGTCAGACAAAACTGATAATATTTTGGAGGTTTTGTGTAAATATCTTTTAACTCGACCAACAGCCGACGTCTAAACTATATGGCTCTAATAGTTTTTTTTATTCCGCGTAATTTGATATATGACACATGTGGTTGTACCACTTGATTAGGTACCTCGAAAACTAAGCGCCTTTTCTGGAGTCTGCCGCCGCACTAAATCTCAGAAGACGCGATCGAGACCATGTTGAATTCGATGTCAATTTCAACTCTACAGCAATACAACATCACATACAAGAAATGGTGGGCATTCTGTTCGAAAAGGCAATACTCGCCATGGATCTGTGACATAGCTAACGTAATCTCGTTTTTTCAAGAATTACTTAGAGACACTAATAACGTCTATGGGTCTTTCAATTCTCATAGATCGGCTTTATCTCTGATATCAGTAAATAATATTGGAGAACACCCCCTCTTGAAAAGGTTTATTAAAGGGGTGTTTAGACTTAGACCTCCGCGAGCGAGGTATGACGCTATTTGGGACCCAGAGCAAGTTTTACTTTTTTTGAGAAATAAGACGCAAAACACGGACTTAAAATTTGTTTCGACAAAATTGGTAACCTTATTGTTATTAGCTACAGGACAAAGGTTGCAATCTATCTCTGTAATAAAATACAAGAATATCGTAGAACTTGCGACAGGTTTCAAAATTTTTATACCGGATTTCTTAAAAAACTCTAGCCCATCTCGAATTCAGCCTTGTCTGGACCTTCCTTATCTTAGAAATGACCCTAATATTTGTGTAGCGTCTTTCATTAAGTTGTATTTGTCTTTAACTAATAAGTTAAGACATTCTGAGTGCGAGTACCTTTTTATTACTTGTAATAAACCTCACGATAGAGCCTCCAAACAAACCTTAAGCCGTTGGGTTAAGTCGATTCTTGAAGCGGCAGGAGTAGACACATCTGTGTTCAAAAGCCACTCCACTAGGCATGCTTCTACTTCAGCAGCTTTTAGAAAGGGTTTGTCAATTGACGAAATCAGAAATTGCGCAGGTTGGTTTAAGGGCTCGGAGGTTTTTATGAAATTTTACAATAGGCCACTAAAACAGGGAAGTTTTGTGGAAAAAATTTTTTGCGTAAATTAGATTTTATTACATTTTTATGGGAGCACCGAATTTTTGTTTATCACAATAAAGGGTTTACCTATTTTTACTTTCGGTCTTTTTTACTGGGACCCCTTCCCGGTTCGGAAAAAAAAAAACTTCATTCTTTAAACATCTACAGTTAAACTATATCGAGGATTGGATGCCGAAATATAATTAATCGATCAATTGAACTCACCTGAAGTTCGATCGTAATTATATGAGGCATCCAATCCGAAGATATAGTAACCCTCCCAACCCCATCTAATGGATCGCCCCATTTTGGGTGTTTTTTTTTTGCCGGATTCTTACTAAACACTGAGAATATTAGCAGGCAGCCGACGCGGGGCAGTTGGTAGGGGATTTTGTCCTCTCTACTTTAAAACTTGTGCGCAGTAGTAGAATCAATACGTACTACAGTTAAACTATATCTTCGGATTGGATGCCTCATATAATTACGATCGAACTTCAGGTGAGTTCAATTGATCGATTAATTATTTAACAGTTTAACACCCTCCCTCAAACCTGGCAACGTTACATCAAACAAACCTAACATTTTCACAAAAACATAAAATTTCTCATAGCCTAAGGATTTCGTGAATACATCGGCTAACTGTTGCGTTGTACAAATATATTCTAACTTAACAATACCTTTACTTACTAAATCTAAAACAAAATGCATTTTTTACATAAATATGCTTACATCTCTTATTATTTTCAAAATTTTATAACAACTTAATTGTACTTTGATTATCTTCAAACAAACAAACTGGTAATGTATAATTAATATTAAGATCCTTTAATAAATTTGTTATATGCAATAATTCACAAGATGCTGCACACATTGCTACAAATTCTGATTCTGTACTTGAAAGAGTTACAACAGATTGCTTTCTAGAGCTCCATGAAATCAAATTATTAAATAGCTTAAATCAATAGCCAGTCATTGACTTTCGATCTGTTTTATCATTAGCCCAATCCGCATCTGAATAACCTACTAACTTACTATCTGCATAATTAAATAACAATTTGTAATTAATAGTTGTCTTTAAATATTTAAGAACTCTCAAAAGATACCTTAACTGGTATCGTCGGGTCAAAATTGACCCGGCGCATTTTTAATTCATCACAGATTAAAGGCTTTTGTGGTTATGCGGTGGGGGTTCTGTGACTTCTCATACAATGTACTTATGCGCAGATACCTCAAGCCCTAGTTCAATTAAAGCATCGCAAGTGCCGACATCAGCGCGTTAGGGTCTGATTTGACCCGAGGATACCAGTTACGTGTGTGTTTTGAATTGATTTCGCTATGGATTTTCTTGTTATTGACGGTAAGAAATATACAGAAGAACAAGTACGTGAGCTATTTTTGAACGGTGAAGATGATGGCGACATTAGTGACACGCCTACCATCGACAGTAATCACGATTCAGAAGAAGAATATACCATAGACGATGATGCTGATGTTGCCGAAGTTGACGATCAAGCTGAACAAGTTCCTGTAGACGATTTGGATTTTCATGCTAGTGCAGAAAACAGTTCGGATTCAGATAGTTCTTCTGATTTACCGTTATCATCTGTAGGTTATGTTTATGGAAAGAATAGGTACAAATGGTCAAAACGAGCTCCTACACTTGGTCGCACCAGGCGCCATAATATTATTACGCATTTACCTGGACTAAAAGCAGCGGCAAGGAACCTGCAAGATAAGAACCCTGTCAACTACTGGTCTCTTCTCATAACCGATGAAATGATTAGCACAATTGTGGACTGCACGAATGAGAAAATTACGGATTTGTCCAGTACATATGGAGAAACAGCCTCGTTTGTGAATTTCACTGATTCAGTTGAGATGAAAGCATTTTTTGGTTTGCTCTATTTGACATCAGCATTCAAATCCAACCATGAAGACGTCGAAGGCTTATTTGCGTCAGACGGTACAGGTAGGGACATTTTCCGTGCTACGATGTCCCTAAAGAGGTTCATGTTTTTGTTAGTCGCATTGCGGTTTGACAGTATTTCTACCAGAAGCTTGAGAAAGACTGATAAATTTTGCCACATACGTGAAATCTTTGAGACATTCATACAGAACTGTCGAAATTGTTATACCCCTGGTGAGTCCCTTACAATAGACGAAATGCTTGTGGGCTTTAGAGGCCGATGTAGTTTTCGTGTTTACATGAAAAATAAACCGAACAAATATGGATTGAAAGTATTGTGCCTTTGTGATGCAAAGACTTACTATTTACTCAATGCTTTTGTTTATACAGGCAAATCACAAAACGTGCACCCTAATCCCAGAAAGCTATCAGTGCCAACCCTAAGTGTCTTATCACTAATTGATCCGGTCAAGAATACCAATAGAAATATCACCGCAGATAATTGGTTCACGTCAATAGAATTAGTTGAAGAATTGCGCAAAAACCAGCTCACTTATGTCGGCACGGTACGTAAAAATAAGAAAGAAATACCTCAATATATAGTTCCAAATAAAAGAACAGAACCAGGTACTTCTATGTTTGTGTTTACTAGCACTATAACTTTAGTGTCGTATGTTCCTAAGCCAAATAAATACGTTCTTTTATTGTCATCTATGCATCATGACAACAAAGTAGATGAAGGATCAAGCAAACCTGATATGATTCTATATTATAACTCTACAAAAGCAGGGGTTGATGCACTAGATCAGAAGTGTGCAAATTACAATACTGGTCGAAGAACCAGAAGATGGCCGTGTGCCATTTGGTATGCTGTTATGAATATAGCTTCAGTAAATTCCTTTATTCTGTTCCAATCTGGCACTGAAAGTTCTATGAGGCGACGGAATTTTATTATTCAATTAGGCCAAACTCTAATTGAAACACATATGAGAAGACGTTTATTGGAACCAAGACTTCCTAGAGAACTTCGTTCAGTCATGGAAAGACTCCTAAAATGCGAGGACACAGCAACGAGTGAAAGTACGCCGTCCATTTCTCAGCCCAGAGTTTCTGGATCTGATGCAGTTAGTAGGGGGAAAAAACGACGTAGGTGTTACATCTGTCCATCACAGAATGACAATAAACATGCTACAATGTGTAATAAGTGTAACCAGCACGTGTGTAAAATTCACAGCGCTGCGACATTGTTATGTGAAAAGTGCCAAATGTGAATGATAGGTTATGCAAACGTCATTGCACGTTTTTTTATACGAAAAGGTATTTGTTTTTTTGGTGTAGCATGTGAAGGCTAAATATGTTGTTTAATGGCCCTTATGTTAGTTTTTTTGATATGATCATGTTTCAGTTGAAAATTTGGAGATTATATTGCCTTACTCAATTTCAGATGCAGTATTTGTATTTATGGTCCTACAATAAAATGTTTTCATACAAAAGACTTTTATGCGTACAAACCTGTTGTATACATGCCAAAATTGGATTCAGTAATGATATTTCGAAATTTGGTGGTCACGGTCTTTTTAAAAACTATCGGGTCAGAATCGACCCGACGATACCAGTTATATATATAAAAATGACGATACCGGTTAAGGGTTAAAGTGTTCGTCTGTTGGACAGTCCTGAAATTTCCCAAAATAGCTAACACTATAACAAATGTCAGGCCTTGAGCCCATCATTATGTACATCAAACACCCTAATAGATTTTTGTACGGTAATTTTGTCTGACACCCTTGATCAGGATTTTTCTCCAAATTAAGATTTTTCTCCATAGGAGTCCTATAACTTTTACAGTTCTCAACATTAAATTTTGAAACCACTTGTTTGATTAACGATATCTGGTCAATACTAATTATTTTATTTTTAACGTCCCTGTCAATTTTAATTCCTAAAAAGCTGTCGACGTTTGTTAACAGTTTCATCTTAAAATTTTCACATAAATGCAACTTCAAATACTTAAAGAATTTATTCGGGTTACATGCGATCAACATGTCGTCAACGTACAAAAGCAAATAACATCTTATATTTGCCTCACAATATGAATATAAACAATAATCTGATTTAGATCTTTGAAAATTTAATTGAATCATTAAATCGTTAAATCTTTCATTCCATACTTTTGGTGATTGCTTAAGTCCATAAATCGCTTTCTTTAATAAGCACCTCTTGTTTTTCATATCGTTTGAAACATTCAAACCTTCTGGTAGGCTCATAAAAATTTTTTCTTTTAATATACCTTTTAGAAAAGCATTCTCGCTACTAATCTGGATTTATATACAGGTTTTCCTTCAGTACTCTGTTTTTCCTTAAAAACCCACCTACAACTTATTACCTCTTGATCTTTTTCCCTATTTACTAACTCCCATGTTTCATTGTCTTTTAAAGCATTTAATTCGTCCTTAATTGCATTGTTCCAACAGTCCCATTTTAAACTACTTTTTGCCTCATTGTAAGATTGAGGAACATCAGAACAATCACTTAATAATGCCAAACAACCAATATCGTAATCGTCAAATTTAGATGGAAATTTTCTTACTCTTTGCGGTCTTAAATTTGTTTCGTTATTTTCAGTTTCTATTACTTGACTTGTATCGTATTCTTCGTCTACTTCTTCATCTAATACTGTTTCATCATTGTCATTATAATCAATTACTTTATGAATCTGATCTGCTTTTACCTCAGTACCTAAATTTCTCTCATCAAAAATTACATTTCTACAATGAATAATTTTGCCTTCCCTTAAATTCCAAAGACGATACCCATTTTCGGTATAACCTACAAACCTGCATTTAACACCTCTATCGTCCAATTTTGTTCTTAACGAATCAGGTACCCGTGCATAAGCTATGCAACCAAAAATCCTCATATTCGATACATTCGGCTTTTTACCAGTCCACAACTCGTAAGGAGTTTTATTTTTTATTAAACATGACTGTGCTCTATTGGTTATATAAGCAGCCGTCAGTACTGCGTCATCCCAAAAACTTTTATCTATATTCCCTTCCATAATCATTGACCTAGCTTTATTTATAAGAGTTTGATTCATCCTCTCTGCAACACCGTTTAATTGTGGGGTGTAAGGAAGAGTATAAATAATTTCAATACCTTTATCATTACAGAAACTTTGTAATGCTTTAGAGCAGTACTCGCCTCCATTATCGCATTTTAATTTAGATACCCTTGTTCCCGGAAATAAAGAAGTCACTCTTGCTTCGTAATTCTTTAAACAGCTAAATACCTCGTCCTTTTGTTTAATCACAAATACCATAACAAATCTAGAAAAATCATCGACAAATGTCACAAAATATTTACCACCGTTATTTGATGAAGGGGTAATAGGCCCACAAACATCTGCATGGATTAATTCAAGCACCCTACTACTTCTTGTACTCTTCGAATAATACGGAAGACATTTTAATTTAGACCTAATACAAATTTCACACAACTTATCATTATATTTGCGCTCCGCCCTCTATGATCAACAATATGTAGTATGTCTCCTGGAGTGAGTAATAGCACACATTTTTAAATCTGAAACTATTTTACCGACCCAACCCTCTGGTATCCTGTGTAGGTGTCATTACTATCATTCTGTTTTTTGTGTGTGAATAATTAGCACGCGTTGCGTTAATTTCACTATTATCGTACGATTTTTCTTGTTTTGTATGGAATGTCGGGAGAAAATCGACCTACCGATTCTTCTAGCTCTACTGACGCGGATGCTCGTAAGATTTTGCGAATTATGGAGCTTTTACAGAAAGAAAAGGATCGGAGTTCACGTCGTAGTCGTCGACATAAACATGGCCGCCGAGATAGCAGCCGCTCACGAAGCCGTACTAGGCCTCGTCATAGATCCCGCCAGCGATCTCGTTCTCCTCGCTCACTTTCCGCCAAAGATAGTGATCCACCACCACCTGTTGATTGCGAGTTAATGGAAGAAGATTATGAACAGTTGCCTTTACGAAACGAAGATTCATGGGAACGTTCTCCAACTCCAAGTCAAGGTTAGTTGTCTTATACTAGATATACGACAACTTGATTACGTTACTAGATAACGAAATAATTATTGCAACTGTCATGGCGATCTATCATAAAAATGATACGTTCTCGAAGCAAAGAACCTAACCTGTTTGGTTACATGCACACGTTAGTGGCAGCAATCTATACTTTGCAACAAAATTAGTTTGTCATAATACAAACAAACTGTCACTAGATGACAGCAGAAACAATTCCCAGCAAAACATTAAAACTTTATTTTCTTAGGTCCTTCCGACCCGGAAGTTCCCGTTGTGGACGAACCCCCCTTGCTACCGGAAATTTTATCCTTACTGGGGGAAACGAGTACGGAATCCAAATTGGGAGATCCGGTACATTCTGATGTTGCTGTCCGCTGGGAAAAAATCCTTCGGCAAGGGCTAGAAACAGAAGTGAAAAACAAACTATTATCAAAATACGCTCCGATTTCCAACTGTTCGGCAGCCTCACCTCCCAAATTAAATCCGGAGGTAAAAGGAGCAGTTACAGAAGCGGCGTTAAGACGGGATGAACGTCTTGTTGAAAAACAGAAACAACTTTCTATGTTTCGCATTTATAATGTCGTTGTTCTGATTCGGATTATGATGATAGAATGAACTTCATTCTAGCACGATTTTTGGTAACTTTTCCATTCTAACACGATTTTTGGAGGCTTTTTTTGTTTAGGAATTGGTATCCCTGTTATGTGTGACAGCCAACAAAACGTCAGCACAAGAGTACGCTTTATACTTTGTATGCTCGTGTTCTGTGGTAAAGTTAAAGTTGGTTACTTTTTTTCACACTAATATCAATGTTTATTCATTAAACAAAGCTCATATTTAAGGAAAAATGCACACGCATTACGATTTATTATTAAATTACACCAATAAAGTCATTAAACAAGTTTGCATAAACGATTTCTTAAAAATGTGCTAAAATGAAATTATCTAACCTCAACCTAACTTTCGTTCTTAAAAGAACAATTGTTATAAATTTTAACAGTCACCGTGGAATGTTCACCTGCATTTATAGTAATTCCGGGGACATTTTGTAACGAGTTAACAGTGGTGGATTCGAGGGTGGATTGTTCTCCGCTAGTAACAGTACATGGTTTCGTGGAGGGTCCAGCTTGTTTGGATTGAGTAGTCGAAACCGAAAGTAACTCTGCGACTTCAATTCTTTTTTTTTTAGATTGATCAACGTAACCCTCTGCTGTTGAGGAACTTTTCCACCCACCATGTTGCTTCAGTGTCATTATATCTGCACCATTGTTCGCCAAGTGTGATGCTGATGATCGGCGAAAGCAATGCCCGGAATATTCATCGCAGTTCCGCAACTTGAGATATCTTGCAATAATTCGGGGCATCTCGCCTATTTTGTTCAAACCAATTGGTTGCACCGTGCAACGTCCTTGTCGATAAAATATGAAAAACCGTTTGTGGGTTATATGTACAGGTCTTAAGCAAGCATACTCCTTGATTAAGCCTATCCACATTGCATTTGTAATTGCAAATAGCCTTGGACGTTTAGTTTTGGTTTTTGGTACCGTCACAAAAATTGAATCGGACTTGTAGTCTATATCATCCGTAAGCAAATTTTTTAGTTCCTCCCGCCTGCATGCTCCGGAATAACCAATTATTAGAATTACCTATAAATGTATCAGTGTGTAATTGTTGATTGAAAATTAATAAAATTACCTTCGCTGCCAAATACTCTGTGTTGGGTGCTTCATTAATGAATCTTTCTAATTCAGGATATTGTAATATTTTAAACTTCTTTGCCTCATATCCAACTGATTTTCGTCTTAATAATGCCTGCAGTTTCATAAATTTAGAAATATCAATATTCTCTCGAACATTCAACATAGATCGGAGCATCGAGTAATTCTTCCACAACGTAGAACTTTTGTAGCTCTTGCTCATTATTGTAAAGAATGCTAACAAAACATTTTCGCGTATCACTGTCACGTTTTGTGCGCCACACCAATCTTTAAATTTTAGGTATTCTTTTTCATACTCTCCTTTTGATTTTGTCGGTAACAGATTATCGACCGCTTCTTCGGCTATTAAGTGTAGTTCTGGCGGAGTAGATGAAAAGGTTGTCTCAGACATTGCAAATTTTACCTTCGTGTATCTATTTTCAGGCGCAATAACGAAAAATGTTAAAATTTAGAGAGACTAATTTAAACATTTGAAAGATGTACGCAGTGCTGCCAACTTTATTTTGACGCGGCAATATTTCTATTTTAAACTAAATACATACTTTTTTATAAATAATAATTAAGGGCTCAACATAGAAAATAGTATAAAACGTTCGTTGCAGAAGGCCTTCTATCACTCGTTCATTCGAACCTTCGCCGCTGCGCGGCTCAGGTTCGAAACTTGAACTCGTGCTAGAATAGGCCGCCTTCTGCAACTTATGTTTTAATATACTATTCTGCCTGCTTGTCAGCCATGGGAAAATTATTAATGATTTTCCTTGGAAAATCAGAACAAACTGAGGAGAGTCGGAAGGTGTTAGAAGTCGCTGGAGATACTGCAAGATTGATAGCGGACTTACAATTTGCAGAGTCTCAATCACGGAGGATTTTAGTGGGCTCGGGATTAAATACAAAATTCAAAGCAACAATCGACGATTCGCCTACAGACGAATGGTTGTTCGGAGGAGACTTAACAGAACGGATAAGGACTGCGAAGTCGCTGGAACGGTCTTCTTCCGATCTAAAGAAGACAATTACAAAAAAGGCTCCAGAAAATTTTTTAAACTCGCAGCGTCCGTCCACAGCAAAACGTCCTCAAAAATTCCACCAGAAGTTGGACGGACGAGTCTTGCCACATCAGAGGAGCAACCACCACCAGACATTTCGTCACAAGTACCAGCGTCAGTCGGAGAAACCACACACAAGCTCTTGGACGCAAGCATCTCGTCAGCAAAGACGACAATAACCTCAAATATATCTGAGGTGAGTAGGCATGGTGGTAGATTATCACGATTTTATATCCAGTGGAGGAAAGTTACCAACGACCCAGTTGTTCTTACGTGGATCAAAGGTTATCGCATTCCATTCACTAGGACAGTTAAACAATTATCACTTCCTCCACCCTCAAACTGGTCTGCAAAAGACCGAGACGAGGTTTTCCAGGTTATTTCTGACATGCTTGGAAATGGGGTTATTCAAAAATGTAAGCCCAGTGCTGGGCAATACATATCCCCAATTTTTCTGGTTGAAAAACCTGGTGGTAAAAAACGATTTATTTTGAACCTTAAAAAACTAAATACTTTCATAGATACCGAGCACTTTAAGATGGAGGATAGAAATACGGCCATTAAGTTACTTAAGCCATCTTGTTTCATGGGATCAATTGATTTAAAAGATGCCTATTTTTTGGTTTCAATTCACCCTTCTCATAGAAAATATCTAAGATTTCAAGTAGAAAACGAATTGTATGAGTTCACATGCTTGCCGAATGGGCTTTGTACCGCCCCACTTGTATTCACAAAAATTATAAAACCAGTACTAGCAAATCTGCGATCAAAAGGGTTCATGTCGGTTGCTTATTTAGATGATTTCCTCTTATTCGGTGACACTAAAGTCGATTGCCATAAAAATATTATTGCAACAGTAACATTACTACAAGAGCTAGGGTTTGTAGTTAATCTACAAAAAAGTGAACTTGATCCGAAACAAAGGTGTAAGTTTTTAGGATTCTATTTTAACTCTATAAATATGTGCATTGAATTACCAGAGGACAAGGGCACAAAAATCAGAACTTGCATTGGTTCCTTACCACATACTTGTAAAATTAGAACATTTGCACGTTTATTGGGTCTTATAACATCAGCATGTCCAGCAGTCCCTTATGGATGGTTATATACGAAAAATTTAGAACGAGCCAAGTTCTTAGCTCTACGTCAGAATAATAATAATTATGACGCGGCCATGCAGATTTCTGCAGATGCGCTTAAAGACTTATCATGGTGGAAACACCATGCTCATCGAGCTAAACAAACTATAAAACCCAAGCAATATTGTTTAGAAATTTTCACAGATGCATCAAAAACAGGGTGGGGTGCAGTTTGCAACCACCAAAAAACACATGGGTTTTGGAGTATCACAGAACAGCTTTGGCATATCAATCAACTTGAATTATTGGCTGCTTTTTTGGGACTAAAATGTTTTGCCAAAAACTTACACCATTGTTCTATTCTATTAAGAATAGACAATACTACTGCAATTGCCTATATAAATCGCATGGGAGGGGTTCAATTTAAAACTCTAAATAGTTTGGCTCGCCAAATTTGGCAATGGTGTGAGCGCCGAGACATATTCATATTTGCATCATATATTGAGTCAAAGGAAAACGTTGAGGCTGATACTGAATCGCGTCGCTTAAAACCAGAAACTGAGTGGCAATTGTCGAAAAAAGCGTTCACAACAATAGTGCTTCACTTTGGAGAACCAGATATTGATTTGTTCGCCAACAGAATTACTACAAAGTGTAAGAAATATGTATCGTGGATACGAGACCCAGATGCAATAGCAGTAGATGCATTTACTTTGTCATGGCAGGGATTGCGATTTTATGCATTTCCTCCTTTTATTTTGGTTTTACGGGTATTACAAAAAGTTATAGCAGACAAGGCTGAGGGTATAGTAGTGGTACCACATTGGCCAACACAAGCCTGGTTTCCATTGTTTACTTCATTGTTAGTACAAGAACCAATTGTTTTTACCCCAGATCCTAACTTGTTATTTTCTCAAAACAGACCTCGACACCCACTTTGGAAGCGTCTTTCCCTGGTGGCAGGACTATTATCGTACAGGCCTTCACTTGTCAAGGATTGCCAAGTTCTTCAATTGAAATAATGGTTGCATCAATTTCAAAAGCCACAATGAAGCAATATACCTGTGGATTAAAACGTTGGTGGTTATACTGCCAAAAGTTAAACCTAGACCTGTACGATGCAAATGTTAATACCATATTAAGTTTTCTAACAGAAGAATTTAATAAAGGAGCCTCATACGCAACATTAAATACGCTGCGTTCATCTTTGGCGTTTATAATACCAACAAATCTTGCTCTAGATACTAAGATCAAACGTTTTTTCAGAGGAGTCCAAATGCTAAGACCAAGCGCTCCAAAGTATGATTATACTTGGGACCCAGGCGAAGTTCTAACGTTTTTGGAAAATTGTGATAGCGCAAATATATCTTTCACTTTGTTATCAAAGAAACTAGCAACTCTATTAGCATTAGCTACAGCTCATCGGGTACAAACATTATCTTTAATCGATATTCGAAATATACATAAAATACCCGATGGGACAGCAATACAAATTAAAATACCAGATCGAATAAAAACCTCACGTAAAAATGGAATGCAACCTCTTTTGTCTTTGCCCTTTTTAACAGACAGGCCTGAAATATGTGTGGCAACCACATTGGAGATCTATCTCACAAGAACCAGTTCACGTAGACCAAAAAATTGCCATAAATTATTTATCACCCTAAAACGGCCTCATACTGAAGTCACTTCTCAGACATTGAGCAGATGGATTAAGCAAACTTTAACCCAGAGTGGCATTAATACTGAAATTTTCTCTGCTCATTCCACTAGGCATGCAAGCACTTCGGCAGCTTGCAGAAACGGTCTAAACCTGGATGAGATACGACGAACAGCAGGTTGGTCCAAGAATTCCGATACGTTTGCAAAATATTACAATAGACCACTGCATTCACAAAATTCATTGTTTCATGCCTTATTTTAGGAAATAAGTGCATTATTTTCACTAATGTTTGTAACAACATACTGTTCTTTAACATACAGGTATACTTATAGTTATTAAGCAAATATATTATTGTGTTAATAGGTTAAAAAAGTAGAATAGTAACTTTTATATCTACTTCTGGAAATAAATCAGTTCTATTTGTAGTTTGTCGCAACTCTTTAAACATCTACATATTGTTGATCATAGAGGGCGGAGCGCAAATATAATTATAAGATCAAACGAACTTACCTAAGTGATGTTCGATCTTAATTATATGAAGCGCTCCGCCCGAGATGATCGGTCCCTCCCAACCCAAGTGTCTACCCCGATCATCTAGTTGCGACAAAAAAGGAGCTTTCAAAAGAATGATAGTAATGACACCTACACAGGATACCAGAGGGTTGGGTCGGTAAAATAGTTTCAGATTTAAAAATGTGTGCTATTACTCACTCCAGGAGACATACTACATATTGTTGATCATCTCGGGCGGAGCGCTTCATATAATTAAGATCGAACATCACTTAGGTAAGTTCGTTTGATCTTATAATTATTTTCCTTAACGAAATCTAAACCATGAACTAAATTGAAATCTTTAATTTTTGTCAAAGAATAATAATTCAAATGACCATACCTTTTATGCCAAAGTTCCTTATCTAAACTTACAGCTAAATTTACACCCTTTGTTTGTTCAGTTAAGCAAAAAACTACTTTGTACAGGTTACCTTCACGTTTTCCTTCTACGTAAATTTTCTTATTCCTTTTAATTGTAATTTTACCATTATTACATACTACTTTGTATCCTGCCTTTTCGATTGTCGATACAGATAATAAGTTTACTCTTAAACCTGGAACACACATTACATTTTTTAGAGTAATTTTTACCTCACGTATTCCAACGATACTTATAACATCTACGTCTCCTACACAGGTTGCTTCCATTGCTTTCCCTTTTTCTGCCAATTGGATTAGTTTTGGTTCCTCAAAGTTGTGTCTGTTTGTTCGAAAGCCCTCCTGGTTGATGTAATGATGTGTAGCTCCGGCTCCGGAGTCAACGTACCACTCACATTCTCTCGGCTTCGATTCATCAGCTGTTGCACAGAACGCTACGTCATCGTCATTATCCCTCGTGGAATCACTTGCACTTCTGCGGTCCTCAAACGCATAATTTGCTACTGTAGTTCTTCTTTCCCTTTTATTTTGGGGGCATTGTGTAGATTTGTGGCCTAGCTTATTGCAAGAAAAGCACTTTACGCCGCACAAATTTTTTACATGTCCTAATTTCCCGCATTTATAGCATTTAACAGTTTTCCGTACATTAAAAGAAGATGCTACCACAACATTTTTACTCTCACTGTTTTGGTTTTTATTTATATTGAACTCCAATAATATACTTTTAACAAACTCAAGCTTTAACGAATCTTCAGAAAGAGTTCTTATTGCTGTCGCAACGCTATCAAATTCAGGTGGCATCGATAATAACAAAAAGCATGCCATATCCGACTCTTCAAATTTACTACCCAACGATTTTAACTCACGGAAGATTTTATCGCACTTTGTAAAATGCTCTTGTAGACTATGACTAACATCATACTTTAAACGTGTGAGTTCTTCTAACAAATAAAATTTTGAACACGTACCCTTTTTTACGAAAATGTTCTCCAATTTATTCAGCATTTCATAGGCGGTGTCCACTTCTTTAACATACCTACTCCAAATGTGAGTCGGCCTCGGCAATACACTGTATTATGATTTGCATGGCCTTGCCATTTTTCTTCTTCCAATTTGCATCCCTCGCTTCCGCTGAAACTTCCTTTATAGCTTTGCTAACATCCACGCTATTTAACACAGATTGCAGCCTAAACTTCCAATTATCGAAGCCATTGCCACAAAACGGAGTAATACCGTATTTACTTTCGTTTCCATTTGCCGCCATTATTACGTTGTACACCTTGACCTCGCCTTGATTTCCTTTTACGTTTTTTTACCGGTAACCTTAATATCTCTTACGTGCTCCACTCCCTATTCCTGGGCCGATAACCAATGTTATCTTTGAAATGGAATAATGCGCAGAGAGTGAAGACAAAGATTTAATAATGAAAAACGAAAATTCATACATTACAAAACAAACGACATTTCTTATTATAGCGACTACATGCTTCATTCGTATATCTAACACTGTTGTCAAATATCCTAAGATCTAACTTGCAGGTTTGCCACATCATCATTATTTAACAGTTTAACAGTCCGTATCTAAGTGGAATTGCAAAGGCGTTTGAAATTTTGTTTATGGTCCATTATGTATTTAACACCAAATATGACGAGCATTTGAGAACCTTCCATGAATTTATGCAAACCCACTACTTTGAAGTAGATTTAAAAAGTGTCGTCTATACTCCAAAGATGGTGGAACTGAGAACCAGGCTTCGTGTGTGAGTTAGCTATTTTTTTTGTAAGTGTACGTCTATATAACCTTTTTTTAAGTACTTGTATTTGCTTTTTATCGTCATGTTTACTTGTTTTATTTGCGCTTCTAGTATTAAGAATGTTGCAGAAACTATTAAACATCTCCGTTTTGTGCATTGCTTTTTTGACGGGCCTAAACTTTTTATGAAATGTTCTTTTGACACATGTGGTCATACATACACGACGTTTAGTGGATATAGAAAACACTTAAAAAAACACGAAGAACATTGTTTAAGAGAATCTCCAATCGCACTTGAAAGTACACAGTTAGTTAACCAATTTCATTCAACTACTATTTTAGAAAACATAGATATTTCTAACACTCTTTTGCACGATGTAACGGTGCCATTGGTGGAAGTTCTAAGTAGTGATGAACAACTCAACAAACAAGACAAGGATATAGAAATTAATAACATTTTTAAAATTTTCTCATTGCAATTATTAAGGATATCTCTCACGAATCCACAAATTGATGCGATTTTTAACAATGTTAGTGAATTGCTTGAAAATAATAATAATAATAATAATAATCATATTTATTCCAAAAAAAATTTTTTTTAGAACCTCATGGCATAGATTCAGCAAAACGCTGCTCTTCCATCTACACCATGACAAAACAGAGAATATTTGTACAGAGCAAAACAGCGAAAGAAAACAAAATTATTCTAGAATAACTACTTACTAAGTATAGTGAAATGATGAATGAACAGATTGAAAGATAAAAGACAATACGAACAGGAATAATCAACTGTAACACGAAATCAAATTAAAGAGTGAAATAAAAGTTTAAACAATTGAAAATGTAAATGTATTTAGTAATTCATTATTACGATGCAATGATACCGATACTCACATTGCTTTTTTAAGTGACCTTAAATTTGAACTTCAAAAATATAACTCTGCTTATAAACGCCATAAACTATTAGAATCGTACAACTATATTAAACCTAAAGAAATTGTTGTAGGTTATAGACCAGAAACGTATTCAATAAACATTCAAATTCTTACATTGAGAAAAATATACCGTGCACATTTCAATACATAGCAATATTAGAAACTATAAAACATATTTTAAAGCAAGGAACTCACTTGATTCATTGGTTAAAAAATATTAGTACGCAGAATAAAAACTTGATGATTTTGAAACAACGAATCCTCTCGGTAGTAAAACTGGCAGTCATAAAATGGGGGCGTATACTTCACGATAAAAAATTTTCCAAATTTCTTTAATAGCCAATTAAATAGTATTTTTTTGTTAGCAATTTTTCATACTTCTGATTTGCATTTGGATGATGTTAACCTTAACACTATATTATATCCCATTGTCAATGATATAAAAATTCTAGAAACTGAAGGAGTCGTTATTGACGGTCTAGATGAACCTGCATTTGGAACTTTAGTATCATTGGCTCACGACAATTTAGCAGGTAACGCATTAAATGGAATGGTCGAGTCCTTTCAAGCGAATTATTATTGCCGTATTTGCTTAACTCATAAAGCTGATATTCTAGAAATGCTATCTGAATCTAATGTTAGTTTTCGCACTTTTCGTCATACTGAATCAATAATTCCACGTGCGTCTAGGGAAAATAATTACTTAGGTATAAAAATAAGAAGTGTTTTAAACGACTTGACTTATTTCAAATTATTTGATTCTTGCTCAGTGGATATCATGCATGATGTTTTAGAAGGGTGTGTCCCCCTTGAAATTAAACTTTTTGTCACTAGCCTCACTGAATCAAAACTAATAACCATAGAAGATTTAAACAACAGAATAAAATTGTACCACTACGGATATTTAAATCAGACGAATAAACCTAGCCCTATTTGTCTAGACAAACCTGGAAATTCAATTGGGCAAAGAGCATCTCAATCGTGGTGTCTCATAAGTTTTTACCCATGATTATAAATGATATAGACTGATCAATTACAATGTAAATGGGAAGTTATGTTATTACTCCTACAAATTATGTTAATATCGTTTTCTCCGCGTATATCTCACGATATGGTAAATGAACTAGAACAATATGTTAAACTGCACCATGAATTATTTAAAAATGCCTTTAATCATCATCTTATCCCCAAACATCACTTCATGATACATTATGGTACAGTTATTCGACGAATGGGACCGTTACTAAATTTATGGTGCATGAGATATGAAGGAAAACACGCTTTATTAAAAAATTTAGTTGTTAAATTCAGAAATTTTAAAAATGTGACCAAAACGCTTGCAAACAAGGTCCAAGAAAGCGCAGTTTTTGAACAGAATTTTAAGTTTAACTTAATACTAGGACCCTCAGTAACTACAAATATTGGAAATTGTACTTAAAAGAACTACTTCATCAAAATATTGATGTTTTTCTAGATGAAATGAGTATTATTGTCCCCAAATGGATTAAATACGGATATCTATATCGGAAAGATTTTGTTATTTGTTCTGGTGTTTACACAGGAAATCTACCAAAATTTGAAAAAATTGTGGATATATTAATAATTGAAGAACATCCTTTTTTTGTAACAAAACAATACCGTACAGTAGAATTTAATGAAAAATTAAAAGCTTTCAAGTTGGTATCGTTGGAAATCAGTCATTATAATGTAATAGATCTAATGTTATTACTTTACAAAGAACCATACAACTTGCATCAAACCATTAACGGAACCGATTTGTATCTGTTGCCTAAACATAGATTTATTTTTTAAACTTCATAAATTCTTTCTGAGAGAAATATGAACTTGCAATATTCTATATAAGTGAAATTACCCTAACGCTTTAATTATGAAAATTAATGTAAAATGAAATTTTTCAATATTGGTATAAAGTTCTCTTTTATAGTCTTGGATTGTTTCATGGTTTCTGCATTAGCATTAAATTGATATTCAATGGCATTAGTAAATTTTAGTTAGCATCAAATGTAGGTTTTTAGTTCTAAATACCAAAAATTTTATAAACGTTTTG